ATGCAAGGCGTACCCTTCCAATTGTTTCTCTATCCCTTAAAGGCATACAGAAATTATTATAGAGTGATACAGACACTGTTTGACCGGGACAACTAGGAGATCATTCTCTGCATTTGATCACTGTAATTCAATCTACAAATTTTAATGGGTGGGGATCCAAGCTTTTGGATCTTCAGTAACCCTTAAAATGTTGCTGATTGCGCTGCATCTTTTTGGGAATATACCCAGATGTATGCAGAAATGGCTGCCGATTAGCACACTATCAATGTATGTCATTTACATTCACTGGCCACTTAATTACGTACACCTTGCTAGTACCAAGAAAATCTCCCCCACACCATTACACCACCACCACTAGCCTGAACAAGACAAGATGGATCCATACTCTCATGCTGTTTGACCCTACCATCTGAATGTCGCAGCTGAAATCGAATGCCCATTCTCCTCTGACCTCTGACATCAACATGGCATTTTCGTCCACACAACATCTGCTCACTGGATATTTTCTCTTTTTTTTCGGACCATTCTCTGTAAACCCTAGAGATGGTTGTGCATAAAAATCCCAGTAGATCAGAAGTTTTTTAATTACTCAGACTAGCCTGTCCAACAACCATGCCACAATCAAAGTCATATAAATTCCTTTTCTTCCCTCATTCTGATGCTCGGCTTGAATTTCAGCAAGTCATCTTCACCACATCTATATGCCTAAATGCATTGATTTGCTGCCATGTGATTGGCTTTTTAGCAATTTGTGTTACCAAGCAATTGAACAGGTGTACCTAATAAAGTGGCCGGAGAGTGTAGAGCAGCAAGCAAACAATGCATACATGGAAGTTTCATGAGCTGACTGCCTATCACAGGATCACAGAGAAAACCAAAATGAGAAATAACGGTAATTTTACGACAAAATATATGCCTATAGTTCTAAAGGAAAGGAGGTAATTTAACCCCTTCACACCGGCCGTGCGCAAATGTGCGGCCTCCCGGCGTCTGGGCCTAGACACCGAGTGGCTGTACATTTGCGTTCATGTAACAAAAACATATGTGCTGAGAGCGCGCGCCCTGCATTCACAGAAAGGTCCTGGTCCGCTCTTTCGATTGGGACCTTTCCCGATCATGTGACCGGCCGTGCCGTCACGGCGACCACATGACACTAAGCCCTGCCCCGTCCCGCCCACCTCCCGGCGCAGGAACTCCTCTTTACGCCGGGACGATCTGGCGTGTAGGGGTTAAGCAAGCAAAAGAAGAGTAGAAGATGCAAATGAGGGGCTCTATATTAATGGCCACGGTTTTGGAATGGGATGTCCGACAAGCTGAGTTGTCAGATGTCCACAAAATGTATTCATTTATAGTTTATTTCTCAAAGAACAATGGGTAGAAGCATATATGCATGTTCTTACACATGTCTATCTTTGCCTGAACCTCGTAGTGGCACATCTGCCGGTAATGGCTTCCTTCCTTTCTCTTAGCTTCTGACCTTTATCATAGGTATGTTCTTCATCAATCACTTCCAAAAGTCTTAGGTGCTCATTACCACCCTCCAATACATCAAAAAGAGTCTTATAGTCACAAGTGAAACCGGTTTTATTGAACTGTCTATTAGAAACTTAATCAACTGATGCACCAAAGAAAGTATCTACCTTTCCTCTTATCATCCTTCACAGCATTTAGCTTGCAACGTGCATTGTTGTGATGTCACTTATCTGACACGTTAACCGCAGTGAGCGAATTTCCAAGTACGACACTTGGCAAGTTGTATCTTGAGTGCAGTGGGATTTCTCTTGAGGACAATACATGGAATGGGATTCTCCCTGTTAAGCTCTAGTTACAGTTGGTTTCCATAGGAAAAAAAAACACCTATTAGTCATGTTTAAATCTTTCAGGAATTCCACTGTGCACCAGACAACAGTGTTTTACAAGTAACAGATAGCTAAAGGATTACTGTATATGAATTAACCATATGCATGCCAGCCAATAGACACTACATTCTTAAGTCTCAAGATGGTCTAGAAGTGATGCCATTGCTCTAAAGACATTATTTATATTGTTAATACATATCTCCACACATTACAAAATACATCACAAAGGAAAACTGTTTTACCTACAAAGCATTCTGTATTTATTTATTTATTTTTCAGGTACTTATATAGCGCTGTCAATTTACGCAGCGCTTTACACATATATATTGAACATTCACATCAGTCCCTAACCCTCAGGGGGTGTACAATCTAAGGTCCCTAACTTACATACATACACATATTAGGGCCAATTTAGATAGGATCCAATTAACCTACCAGCATGTCTTTGGAGTGTGGGAGGAAACTGGAGCACCAGGAGGAAACCCACGCAAGCACAGGGATTGAATTGTTACTGAACCTGGTGCTTATATACCCTAACCCTCTAAGAGGAATTCCAGGTAAAAGAGAACCAGTCAATGAACAATACTATCAAGCAATTGCTGCAATTGTGCTTAAGTGATTTCTTGAACCCCCCTGGTGGTATTACCGAGTGTAACTTGGGGTAAAGTTTCAGTACCACAAGCGGTAACCCCGAGCTACACTCGGGAATACCCTGCAGCACTGATCTGGGATCTGTTCAACACTTACCTTGTCCTGCGCTCCCACGATGTCCCTCCTGCAGTGTCCCCGGCAATGTAATCCGGCGGAAGCTGGCATCTGTCATCTGGGTTCCGTCCCCTGCGAGCGTCGGGACGTACGGGGGACTAAACGGCGGGAAATTTGAAAATGTCAAAAAGTGACATTCAATAAATACACTAAAATCACATAGTATTCCATTACTGTAGCAAACCATTTCACATACATTTTGTCCTTACTGCTTTGTCCGGCGCCCTGCCTGCATTTTTACTGTTCTTTCTGCCTGGAAACTGAGAAACGTCCATGGTGTCCAAAAAGAGTCCCTTTAGGTCAAAAGCGATTTTAGATCGGCTAGAGAACAGCGATAGTAAATCAGAACCACTTGCAGAATTGAGTGATAATGATTCGTCATCATCAGACACTGAAAACGATTCTGCGACTTTGATCAGTGATGTGCGAACTTGGCGCTATATTTCAAATTTCAGTATTTTTGGTTTGATTATATTATTGAATTAAATGTATTATTATTATATTATTATTTTTTTTATGATTATTTATTAAATTATAATTTATGCTTTCGTGTTTCAAGTTTTATCCTACCCGGGATGTTTACTAGACTCTTGTTCGGACAGATTTCAGTGAGTTATTCCTAAGAATTACAGGCCTACAATAAAAAAAATACATATTTCCATGCAAAAAAAGTACCGCTTTCAGCACAGAAATATGGACATAATCAGACCGCTAGAGAGGTTAATGTGTGTTTTTGTGCATTTTATATGTTTTTTTTATGCACTGAGGGTTGATTTACTAAATGCAAATAGACTGTTCACTTTGCAAGGAAATGCTCCCTTAGCTTAGTGAACATTGCAAAGAATACCCAATCATATGCAAAGAAAAAAAAAACAATATTTTTCCCTGCACGTGATTGGTTGATGGAAGTCAGCAGAGCTTCACCTCATTCACTAAACTAAGGGAAAATTCTCTTGCAAAGTTTACATCTCATTTGTCTTTAGTAATTCAGCTCCAATGTCTTTTCTCTTCAAAGGCCAATTGAACAGCCAAGAGCTCCCAACTGCCAATTTCCAAAGCATCTACTTCAACTACAATAAACTGTCTGGTGTTGGAATGCACTAGAATGAGTGCAGAGTTGAAAGCTTTCTTTAAGGCTGCAATGGCTGGGACTGCCTTGGGTGGCCATGGTCTGCACCATTGTAGATAAGATCAGTCAGATGGGCAATCGGGGTGGAGAAATTTTATAACCTTATAAAAATATGAAAAACCTTATAAAAATGGGCAAAACCTATAAACTTCTGTAGGCTGGCTGATTGAACTAAGTGCAAAATTCCTTGAATGGGTCCATACTAAGTCCAGAAGAGAAAATTATGTAATCAGAAATAAGACCTCATGGAACTAAAAAAAAGTTTTCTAAGTCCCTGCAGAACTGCCCACATACTGTAAGTGTATGATACCGTGTGATGCCAACAATATGAGAATATAATCTAAATAGGTTTATAATACACAGTGCTTTTGAAAACTAAATGCCATGCAGTGAGGGTTGGGAGCTACTTTATACTTAAAGTGTTACTAAATCCACAACAGTAAAATCAGTCTGTATATGCAGTAAAGCATACTTGTTATACTCACTGTAGAACCTTAGGGGTTAATTCCCTGTATTGTGTAAAAAGGCTATTTGATCCTGACTTCTCTGATCCTCCCCGTCTTCAAGTGTACCCCTCTTATCTCCTGATAAGATATATCGTGTGGAGTCACTCTGCAGATGCTCAGTTTGGTGTGTATTATTAGAGAGGTTTTTTTTCTTGGGAGAGTGCATGTGATCAGCATAGGGCCAATCAGCACTGTCAGGGGTTCTGCATCCTCCTAGAGCAAAATGAAATCTCCTCCTACAAGCTTTAACCAGTGCTCTGCTGGACACTGATAGAAGTCACAAGACTGCTCTAACTGCTAATGAAAAAAGGTATTTAGCAGTGTATATTTACTAAAATAATTGCACTTACATTTTCTGTGTAATGTGGGAGACCAGATATAGTGAATGCAGAGTCTGGGGTTTAGTAACATGTAAAAGTGTTACTAAACCCACAACAGTAAAATCTGTATATGCAGTCAGTAAAGTCTGTATATGCAGTAAAGCATGCTTGTTATACTCACTGTGGAACCTAATGGGTTAGTCCTCTGCATTGTGTAAAAAGGCTGTTTGATTCTGTCTTCTATGATCTTCCCCTTCTTTGGCTGTCCCCAATCCATCTGCCATAGTTAGAGCAGCTGTGACAAGTTTGCACATGCTCTGTTTGGTGTTTATTGCTAGAGAGTTTTTTCGGGGGGAGGGTGCATGTGATTGGCACAGGGCCAATCAGTGCTGTCCAGACAGAATGAGATTGAAAACTCCTCCTACAAGATTAACCAGTGCTTGGCTGGACACTGATAGAAGTCACAAGACTGCTCTAACTGCTGATGAGAAAAGGTATTTAGCAGTTTATATTTACTAAAATAATTGCATTTCCATGTTCCGTGTACTGTGGGAGACCAGATATAGTGAATTCAGGGTCCAGGGTTTAGTAACACTTTGGGTTCAGGTTAAATAATGACTACTTTTAGTAGAGTACTCTTCTTTAATGACTTGTTTGGTGGTTTGTAAGGCAATAGAATGTAAAGTCCAAATCTGGGCAAAAACAAATTATCTCTTGTAGTGGGGCTGTACCCACACTTCAAGGGTTAATAACTCATTTTGTCCAAGGGAGAAGAGAGTCATTTTATCTTACATGCTTCTCTGCTCTTTCAGGAGTTTGCTCTCCCAACAATCCTTTCGTATCCTCTTGTCCAGGACAGGGCTATGGACCCAGCTCTGGTCTTGATGATGTCAGGACCCTAGACCAGTAGAATGCAGGGGTGCAGAAGCTGCAGGGAAGAGTGGAGGATCAGGTAAGTAAATCTCCTTTTATTGTTTCCCTAGACATAAATGAGCAATTAACTCTTTCAGTGCAGTCACAGCCCCACTGCAAGGGATAACTTTTTATTTCTTCGGAGTTGGGCTTTAAGTAGCTCCTGAGAGTAACAAACCTCCCTTTAACTATTCTGACCTGTTCTTGTCCAAAAAAAATATGCCTCTTACCAGCCTCATTATTTTTTTTGTATAATCTGTCTTTATTAAAGATTTTCATAACAAAGGATAAGGCAATTGTGAAGACAAAAACTTGTAGTAACACAGAGAAGAGAAAGCATATTTAAGCAAGCAGGACCCACAACAGGCCCTGCATACAGTGATATAATACAAATGCAGATCAAGCATAAGGTACAATACAAATGTCAAGCTACGTACCCCCCCCCCCCCCCCGCCCACTGTCAGGGCAGCGAGAACCAGCACAAGACTCATCACCAAGGGACCCAGCTGCCACGCAGGAGCTACAGTCATGGCCGAAATTGTTGGCACCCTTGATATTTCTCCAGGAAATCATGTATTTCTCACGAAATTCCACGTATTGCAAACTTAACACATGTTTTGCTATACACGTATGTTTATTCCCTTTGTGTGTATTGGGACAAAACAAAAAAAGGGAGGAAAGAAAGCAAATTCGACATAATGTCACACAAACCTCCAAAAATGGGCTGGACAAAAGTATTGGCACCCCTTTCACAACTGCGGATAAATAAGAATGTTACAAGCATGTGATGCTCCTGTAAACTCACCTGGGGCAAGTAACAGGTGTGGGCAATATAGAAATCACACCTGAAAGCAGATAAAAAGGAGAGACGTTCACTTAACCTTTTGCATTGTGTGTCTGTCTGTGCCACACTAAGCATGGACAACAGAAAGAGGGAGACAGAACTGTCTGAGACCTGAGAACCAAAAAAAATTGTGGCAAAATATCAACAATCTCAAGGTTACAAGTCCATCTCCAGAGAACTAGATTTGCCTTTGTCCACAGTGCGCAACATTATCAAGAAGTTTTGCAACCCATGGCACTGTAGCTAATCTCCCTGGTCGTGGACGGATGAGGAAAATTGATGAAAGAATTGCAACGCAGAATAGTCCGGATGGTGGATAAGCAGCCCCAAACATGTTCCAAAGACATTCAAGCTGTCCTGCAGCTCAGGGAGCATCAGTGTCAGCGCGAACTATCCGTCGACATTTAAATGAAATGAAACGCTATGGCAGGAGACCCAGGAGGACCCCACTGCTGACACAGAGACATAAAAAAGCAAGACTACAGTTTGCCAAAAATGTACTTGAGTAATGGCCAAAAGCCTTCTGGGAAAACGTCTTGTGGACAGATGAGACCAAGATAGAGCTTTTCGGTAAAGCACATCATTCTACTGTTTTTACCGAAAACGGAATGAGGCCTACAAAGAACAAAACACAGTACCTACGGTAAAATATGGTGGAGGTTCAATGATGTTTTGGGGTTGTTTTTGCTGCCTCTGGCACTGGGTGCCTTGACTGTGTGCAAGGCATCATGAAATCTGAGGATTACCAAAGGATTTTGGGCTACTGTAGGCCCAGTGTCAGAAAGCTGGGTTTGGCGTCCAAGATCCTGGGTCTTCCAGCAGGACAATGACCCCAAAAATACGTCAAAAAGCACTCAGAAATGGATGGCAAAGAAGCGCTGGAGAGTTCTGAAGTGGCCAGCAATGAGCCCAGATCTAAATCCCATTGAACACCTGTGGAGAGATCTTTAAAATTGCTGTTGGGAAAAGGTGTCCTTCCAATAAGAGAGACCTGGAGCTGTTTGCAAAGGAAAAAAGAGTGGTCCAAAATTCCGGGTGAGAGGTGTCAGAAGCTTATTGATGGTTTATAGGAAGCGACTGATTTCAGTTATGTTTTTGGTGTGCAACCAAATATTAAGTTAAGGGTGCCAATACTTTTGTCCAGCCCATTTTTGGGGTTTTTTTGTGTGACATTATGTCATATTTGCTTTTCTGCCAGCTGTTTTATATTTGTTCCAATACATACAAAGGGAATAAACATGTGTATAGCAAACATGTGTTAATGCAATACCTTTTTTTGTGTGAAATACTTGATTTTCAGGAAAAAATATCAAGGGTGCCAACAATTTCGGCCATGACTGTATGTCTCTGCAGGAGGCCAGCCAGTCTCAGGGCGATAGATCAGACGTGCCCCCCGTAACATTCCACATTTCAAACTTAAGGCACTAGAAGTGACAATAAATAGCACGTAGGGCACTTGCATTGAAACCCAGCACTCATATGCGAGATGGCAAAAACACAGAAATACAAGATAAGGAAAGAAAAGGCGAGAAGAGAAGAGAAAAAGAAGAGCAGAGGCCTCGTAGGGCCAGATGAAAAAAAGGATAACAGCACAGATCTGAGGGCTCGACGCACGGGGCAAAACAGGAGAGGGGCAAATCAGGAGCTAGAACCTGGAAGAAACCCACCACCCGTTATTCCAGCGGCAGAATCACCGGGCCCAGACTTAGAGTAAAACTGGCTGGGGGGAAGATCTAGGGACCAAAGCGAGACCAGCCTTAATATTTAAATTTTTTTATGGGAAGAGAAAAACATAAAGTGGAAAAAAATTAACTAAAAATGCAATCCAATTTTGTAGTCAAACCAACTTTTCCAAAATCATTCTTTATGGAATATTGGTGATTTCATGGGACTTCTTTTTTTTTTATCAACCAACAACCAGATTGTTTTTTTTATGTGTGTATTTCATTAGCATTGAAAGTTCATGCTACAAAAATACCACATTAGATGGCCAAAATATAATGTATTGTGTGTGCAGATAGCTTTACAGTACTTTACTGTAGCCAACGTAATTTAAATACTGTAACTAATTAGAGGATAGTTTCCTTAGTATTATGGAATTAGAAGCCAGAAGCGTGATCTCCAACACACCATGACAGCTTGCAGTGGGTATGAGCATGTTTTGGCTCTGAGCTGCTTGCACGGACTCTGGGATTGCAGTGGCTCTGGGCTTCACTATGACTCCAAGCTTGCAGTGGCTGTGTGCTTGCTATAGCCTCTGACCATGATGTGGCTCTGGGCTTGCTATGGCTATGAGATGATTGCATTGAATCTGCGATTGCAGTGGCTTTGGGCTGCTTGCGCTATAATTTCGCAAAGGCTCTGGGTTTGCTATGCTCCTGAGTTTGCAGTGGGATTGCAGAGGCGGTGAGCTTGCTATGGCTCCAAGAGGCTTGCATTGAATCTGGGGTTTCAGTGTCTCTTGGCTGCTTGTATTGACTCTGGGATTGCTATGGTTGTGAGCTGCTTGCTGTAAATCTGGTCTTGCTATTGCACTGCGTTTGCAGTTGATCTGGGCATTCTATGGCTATGAGATGACTGCACTGAATCTGGGATTGCAGTGGCTTTGGGCTGCTTGCATTGACTCTGGGATTGCAGAGGCGGTGAGCTTGCTATGCCTCCGAGAGGCTTGTATTGAATCTGGAGTTGCAGTGGCTCTTGTCTACTTGTATTGACTCTGGGATTGCTATGGTTCTGAGCTGCTTGCTGTAAATCTGGTCTTGCTATTGCACTGCGTTTGCAGATGATCTGGGCTTGCTATGGCTCTAAGCTTGCAGTGACTCTGAGTTTGCTATGGCTCTGAGCTGCTTGCTGTAAATGTGGGCTTACTGTGGTGCTTATCTGCTTGCATTGACTCTTGAGATTGTAGAGGTTGTGGGCTTGCTTTGGCTCCGAGCTTGCTCTGGCTGTGGGCCTGCTGTGGCTTTGGGAGGCTTGCGTTGAATCTGGGATCGCAGCGACTCTGGGCTACTTTTATTGACTCCGGGCTTGCTATGGCTCAAATCTGGGCTTGCTATTGCTCTGAGCTTTCAGTGACTCTTTGCTTGCTATGATTCTGAGCTGTCTGCTGTAAATCTGGGTTTTCTGTGGCTGTGAGCTGCTTGTGCTAGTGGCTTTGTGTTGCTATGGCTCTGAGATGCTTGCTGTAAACCTGGACTTGCTATTGACCTGAGTTTACAGTGGCTCTGGGCTGGCTATGACTGAGCTACTTGGTGTAAATCTGGGATTACCATGGCTCTGAGCTGCTTGCTGTAAATCAGGGTTTGCTATAGCACTGAGCTGCTTTGCAGTGTCTCTTGGATTGCACAGACTCATGGATGCACATGCGCTTCTAGGCTTGCAGTAGTTCTGAGCTGCTTGCTGTAACTATGGGACTGCTATGGCTCTGGGCTCCTTGCTGCAAATTTGGGTTTACCATGGCTGTGAGCTGCTTGCTGTAAATTAGGGTTTGCTATAGCACTGAGCTGCTTGCTGTAAATCAGGGATTACCATGGCTCTGACCTGCTTGCTGCACATTTGGGTTTACCATGGCTCTGAGCTGCTTGCTGTAAATCTGGGGTTACCATGGCTCTGACCTGCTTGCTGTAAATCTGGGATCACCGTAGCTCTGAGCTGCTTGCTAAAAATCAGGGATTACCATGGCTCTGAGCTGCTTTCTATAAATCTGGCATTACCATAGCTCATAGATGCTTGCAGTAAATCAAGGATTACCATGGTTCTGAGCTGCTTGTTGTAAATCGGGGATTACCATGGCTCTGACCTGCTTGCTGTGAATCTAGGATTACTCATGGCTCTGAGCTGCTTGCTGTGAATCTGGGATTACCATGGCTCTGAGCTGCTTGCTGTAAATCAAAGATTACCATGGCTCTGACCTGCTTGTTGATAATCTGGGATTACCATGGCTCTGAGCTGCTTGCTAAAAATCAGGGATTACCATGGCTCTGAGCTGCTTTCTGTAAATCTGGGATTACCATAGCTCATAGATGCTTGCAGTAAATCAGGGATTACCATGGTTCTGAGCTGCTTGTTGTAAATCATGGATTACCATGGCTCTGACCTGCTTGCTGCACATTTGGGTTTACCATGGCTCTGACCTGCTTGCTGTAAATCTGGGATCACCATAGCTCTGAGCTGCTTGCTAAAAATCAGGGATTACCATGACTCTGAGCTGCTTGTTGTAAACCAGGGATTACCATGGTTCTGAGCTGCTTGTTGTAAATCTGGGATTACCATGGCTCTGACCTGCTTGCTGTGAATCTGGGATTACCATGG